GAGAAGGAAGGACGAAGGTGGTTCGGAGAGAAGAAATATGGGGTTGTGGTTTTGATGGTTGGTTGACGGTGTTACCGGTAGAGATGGTGGTTTGTTAATGGGTCTGTGGTGGCTGTGATTTTGGAGACTAGGGGAAGGGAAGGTGGTCATTGGCAGGCGGTGGGGTTTGTGGGTCTTCAAAAAAAAAATTGGAATGGGGAGGGGGGACGGTGGTTGCTATGAAGGAAGAAGAATATTTTTACAAGGTTATTTTGGTAAAAGCACATTTTTCCCCATCTATATTTAACCAAAAGCCAAACATAGACTTTACAAAAGTTACCTAATTTCTCCAGTAAAATTTTTCCCAACCAAACAACTATTTTTACATTTTCCTACCAAACTCACTTCCCAACCATTTTCCTACTAATCACATTTCCCTATAAATATAATTCATAAAAATTTCTCTTCAACCAAACGCCCCCTAAAGGTTTGCAGAATCCTCTTGTGTGCTGCCATCCTTTGCATTATGTAGCACCTCAATTCCTCATATAATGTCATTATAGGTTTTAACCTGTCATTCACAATTTTTGCATTCCACACCTCAGCCATATTATTTGTAATATTGTCAGATTTAGGCTAGTGACTGTAGTATGCCTTAACCCAACATGAAGGATGTATATTATCAAGATACTTCCAAGCTGGTTCGTTTAGAGTCTTCAGCCTTTGCATGACCTTCTCAAATTGGGGAACAGTGGTGCATCTAGCACATTCCCACACAATTCCTCTTGTCTCTTTATCCTTCCATTGCTTGATGAAGTTCTTCCATACATGTTGTACACAGAACCTGTGGTGTGAACCTGGCATAATTTCCTTCAAGGCTGGGACAAGTCCCTGTATGTGAATGTCAAAAAAAAAGTTAAAATACAATCTGGACAGAACATAATGTGAGATAAATAATTGGAAGCATAAGCTAAAAAATGTTACCTTTTGTTGATCTGATATGAAGTTCCAACCATAAACTCCATGATCCCCTAAGTCTTCCTGTAATAAGGTCAAAAACCACTTCCAATTCTCCTTTGTCTCACTATCAACCACGGCATAGGCAATGACATAAAATTGCTTGTTTGCATCTTCACCCACAGCACTCAATAATTGACCTCCATAATAGCTCTTCAAAAAGCCATCGTCCAACCCAATTAAGGGCCTGCAACCAGCTTTGAAGCCCTTCTTACAAGTATCAAGGCAAATGTACATTCGATCAAATATTGGCAATGCTTGTGGAATTGGTTGGGGGGTGACTTGCAATTTGCAAGTTGAGCCAGGGTTGCTCCTCAACAGCTCAGCCAGATATTCTCTTAATCTTCCATATTATTCCTTTTCACAACCTTCAATGGTTCCCTTTGCTTTTTCCAAAGCCTTGCTTACGTTCTTCATATTCAAATGAACATTGTATTCCTCCTTCATGTGCTCAAATGTCTCTGACCTGGACATCTTGGGCTGTGTTAGTATTCTCTTCTCCAATTTTTTGGCCACCCAATCTCGAGAAGCCCTTTTGTTCTTGAAGACTCTGCAGCATGTATGAGTCTCGTTAAAAGATTTTATTTGGAATGTGCTTAGCTTGGTGTTCCAAGCACAATACACCATCCATTCACAGTCTTCTACACTGCATTTGGCCCTTACTCTGACCTTGTCATTCTTAACCCAGATGAAGTTCTTCCCAAGACTGATATTATAGTTTTTTATTGCACACTTAAATTGGTCCAAATTCATAAACTCCATACCAAGTTCTAAATATATATGCCCAAAAGAAGCTTGTTTATTAAACTTTGGCAAGACAGGTCTAACATTCTCATCATCGTCACTTGAAGGAGGAGTCCTCAACTCCTCAGAAAGATAGGTATATCCTTCTTCCTCAAATGACATTATGTCTTCCTCTTCATCAACTTCTTCAGATTCAGAGTCTTGAATTGGGGCATCCTTCTTGACTGCCTTCTTCCTTGGGGTTTGTTTTGCAGGCTTTTTTTCTATACCAATCGTACATTGTGTTCATCATCATCTTCGGAATGGTCCTCAACACCAGGCGAGGGAGGTTTGTATACCTCATCCTCTTCACTCTCATATGAATCTGAGTGTGAGGAAGCAACCTCATCATCTGCATTATCATCTTCGGACCCATTACCACCATCATCTGCACTTTCTACATCATGGTCCGAATTGATCCCATCATCACGTAAATTCAAGCCATCAGCAACCTGTGTATGGTCTTCATTTTCTTCGATCCCATCATCATGTAAATTCAAGCCATCAGCAGCTTGTGCATGGTCTTCTTTTTCTTTGACCCCATTATCACCTTGTGCATTGTCTTCATGTGAATTGACCTCATCATCAACCTCTACATGGTCCTCATTATATGCTGAATTAACATCATAATCCTCTTCATTGTCATGTTCGGGAATTGAGATGCAATCCTCAAAGTAGACATATATCTCATTGTCATTTCCTAAAGGAGCCTCACACTTGGCACACACATCCGAATTTGTAATAAGTGGTCTCAGCCCTTGATCCAAATCGGGTACACCAGGCTTTAGCCACATCATCTTCTTGCATTTTTCATACCCAAATTGCTTAAATAGGGTGTCAAGGTTACAGATATTGTAGTAGTCAATGTCCATCTCTGGCAATGAGTCCACCCTTCCATTTATATAGGTCATCACTCCATCTTCATCTCTTACTAAAATACCACCATGATGATACAGAATCACTATGTATTCTAACATCTGTCAAAACCAAAAAACAAAACCTATCATTAATCAAACGGCCACACATGATAGACCACTTAAACAATACAAAAAAATAAACAAACAAACATTTTTTTATGGATGCTGACTTTTTTCCAACGATTTCCATGGGGTTTTTAATTGTTACTGGGTCAACCATGGACCACTTTCTAAAACAGGGACCACACCATCCGGTAGTTACATTCTTTAACCTAAACCCTAAATGGAAACATAGACCACAATGTCCACTTCGCATTCAGATAAAAACACGCATTAAACAAAGGGGAACAACATGGGGACCACAAACAAAGGAGGACAAAGAACAATAAAAAAATGTTTCAAGATATAAATACTCTCATACCTTTTTGTACGGAAGGTTCTGCCTCACACAAAACCAAAATTATTTTACTTCCACCGGTTCCCTCGATTGTTGAAGAAGTTCGTATTCCAAACGCAGGCGAGTATTTACTCCACAGTCCTCTTCCTTCTCAACAATGGAGCGTCAAAGTTAGAAGAGAAGGAAATGGTAAAGTGACCAACGGTTAGGAGAGGGGAAATTTTGGGTTTAATAAAAAATGGTCTGACCAACGTGGATGAGTCTCTCCAAACGACGTCATTCCTAAACCAACGTGGCCTTCAGCATGTCACTTAACGTGACACATCAGCACCGTCAGTGATACCGTGAGTTTTGGATTAACAGAAGGACTAACGTGAGTCCTGTTTCTCTTTGTTGGGGACTATCTAACTAATTTATTTTTGTGAGGGACTAATTTGGCCACCAAATTTTTTGTCAGGGACCAATTTAGACATTTACTCTTCTTTTTATATAGCAAATAGATAAATCATTTGCTTGTGTTTAGAATTTAGTCTTGATGTCAACATTTCTCCGCGTATAAATATGGCAAAGCTGCAAAAATGAAAAAAAAAAATTATGAGAGAAAATATTATGAAGGCTGAAAGTATTACATAACATACCATTATCCCCCTCCCAAAAATTAACATATATACCGAAAAAAAAGGCATAAACATGAGAGTATCGTGTTTTTTTTCTCACTATTAAGAAACATGTAGAAATGTTTACCAAAAAGAAAAAGAAAAAGAAAAATGTAGAAATGATATTTTCTAAACTTGGTGCTGAGTCACCAAATAAACAATTAAGGTTAAATGAATTACAAGAACATAAGACGATATACAGATAACAGCAACTATCATGTATTAAAAAAAAAAAGCCTAGCGATACAAATGATAAATGTACGGGAGATTACAAAATTGTCCATATAATAATCATTAATTTACCAATCCAGGCTTGAGCATAACTAGGCTGGGTACACTAACCCATTTGATAGATAAACTAGTCCAGACCAACTTTCAATGGGCTATGGCCGAGCCTACCAAAAATTAAAAATGACAAAAAAATTCGATTACTTTAATATTTAACAATATTAAAACATTTTATGCTAAGCACCTAAGAGTTGTTCTCATCTAAATCTTAGGATTCGATTTTCATAAAGGTTTATATATTTGAATTCTAAGAATCGCAACTCCTCGAGAAGTGTCACAATAACTCCTTCAGTCTCTAGGAGCCTTAAATTAAAATTTTAAAAATTAACAGAAAGAAAAATATAAATTTTTAATTTTTAATTTTCTTTTCTATTACCTACTACTAGCCAGGTTAATACGATTTCGGTGAGAAGTTGAGTCAAAAAGTTTACATACAAAATGAGCTACTAAACTCTAACTGGCCTTAGTTTTATATAAAATGATGTGAGCAATTCCTTTCAACGTCGACAAGTAATTGGATTATTCAGTCTAAAAACATTCTTTTGTATTTAACATTTAAATAGCTTACTTCAGCTTATCTGATATTTCATTTTCAAGTCTTCCATCGTAAGAGCATTTGTTGACTGTCACAATCAGAATAACATCATCACTTTAATAAATTTTAGATTTAATATCTTAAGTTCTAGAGTCTACTATACGCTTATTTCAGTGTTTGATATCGCATAAGTAATAACTAACCAGGAAGTAACGTTACAATTACACTAAACACACAAGTGAAAAAACAGAATCAATACAGAAAATGGATGACAGAAAGAGAGCTTAGGGAAATCTCCATGCTTTTCCGCTGCAGATCCCTTGGAGACCGCTATCAAATAAATTCCTTTTCATTCATCTTAGCTACTTGTGTCATACATGTTGATGTAAAAACCCTTGCTTAACAAAGGCACTAATACTATTGTCTATTAACATATTGATAAAGCAAACAGAAGAAGTTAACAGAAATACAGAATATAGTAGATTAATTGAAGCATCCTGTTTCAACAACTTTACCATCAAGAAATCCTGCTAAAGCTCTACTCTAGTATCCTGAGATATTCACTGACATTTCCCAACTCAATGAAGAGTTCAAGGTTATGGACAAAGATTGCACAATCTCATACATTGCAGGGCGACTTGTTGGATCTTTCTTCATGCAATTATCTATCATTCCAACCACAAATATAGCAAGTTCTAACGGGTAATTAGCTTGGAGAGAGGGATCCATAAACTCCTTCAACCTCTGCTGACCACTTTCCTCCCCAAGTATGGCACTTAAAACATCAGACAGATTAGTATTATCTTGTGCTAAAATAGTAGCAACCTCTTTTCCGGTGAGGATTTCCAACATCAGTGCCCCAAATGCGAAGACATCAAGCTTTGTAGAAACAAGACCATTTTCCAAATACTCAGGAGCCATGTAACCCCTTGTCCCAACAATATGTCTTGTCGCGGGAAATTGGTCACCGTCTCTTTCCAAAGACCTCGCAAGGCTTAAGTTTGCAACCTTTGCCCTGAAATCATTATCCAGAAGAATATTAGTGATCTTTAGATCCTTGTGGATATGGAGAGGATAAGTGGAACTATGAAGATAGTCAAGTCCTGTGGCCACATCCAATGCAATCTGTATTCTCTGCGTCCAACTCAGAAACTTCACATCCCCGTTGTTGAAGAAGATCCAATCACTCAAGGATCCATTAGCAGCATACTCATAAACAAGATACCAATGACCCTCGTTGAAGCTAACCCCAGAGAGGCGTATAACATTAGAATGGTTGACTTTGTTCAATATTTCTATCTCTTTCGAAACATCTCCTTCTGTCTTCTTAATTGCAGCCAAATCTCCTTTAATAACACCGCGATAAACAGAACCTTTAATCAAACAGCTTTGACTAAAATTATCTGTTGCACGCTGCAATTCCTCAAAACTGTACACTTTGAACGATTGAGCTATGCCAGATATAATCTCTGACAAACTTTCGTTCACTTTCTCCATTCCCTTCTCTTGTGGTTTCTCAGTTGCCCCAAAACTCTCAGAAACAACCACTGAATCTTTTTTCCTTTTACTTTTGCCACAGTATCTGTAGAGAATGACAGCACCAAGAACTAATATCAAGGCAACAACAACCCCAACAACTACATACACCCACGTTTTGCTTGAACTTTGACCTGTGGAAGAAGAGGGAGGTGAGGGTGGCGAAGGTGGTGGAGCTTGCAAAACGGTTTGAGAATTTGAGGGCCTATCATGAAGGGGAACTAGAAGTGTTGTAAAGGGATAGATGGTGGCTTGTGTCATAGTAAGGCTATTTGCTTCAAGAGTGGTCTCAGTGCTGACACCAAATCTTTCACTAATGAGTGAAACATATTCACCCTTGTTTACAAGGTAACTTAAGAGGTACATGATGCCATTCTCAGTTTGGTTCTTGGTGGGACAAGCACATCTAAGAGGAACTGCAAGTTCTCTACCGGAGAATAAATCTCCAGGGTTGTGGTTTTGTTCCTGCAAAGATTGACAAGTTGAGAGGCCTTCAAAAGTGTTGTTTGCAATCAAAAAGTTGGTGTCTGTATTCTGGACAACGTAGGATGTGTTTGCCTGATAATAAGGACCTGCACAAGAACAGTTGACCGGAACAATCACTAACTTATTTGTTTCAAAGGTGTCATTAAGGGAAACTGAATTGATTTCAGCAAGCTGGGGTGGGTCAGAACCTAACAAAGTAGATATTGTCGAAACAGAATTGTAAATGGGTTTAGATCTGAAGGTAAGGTAAGTTTGGCAGCTTTGATTTGCGCCAGTACAAATGTAACCACGCATAGAATTTGAATTACCATGTCCAAGGCAATGTGTTGTGGCCATACCAATGTAAGGTTGTTGCCCCTGAATCATAGAGAAGCTGCAGATCGATAGGGTGAAAATGAAGACAGGGATGATGAAGGGAAAGAGACGCATTGTTCTTGGCTTCTTGCAGAGGAAGGATACAATTGAGGAACTGCTAGTGGGGTCATAGGTTGTTAACCTTGAACCACTTCTATCAATTTTGGGACTGAAAATAAGAAGGGAATCTTGTTTATCATTTTAAATCACGTAAGTTATATCAAATCACATAAGTTATATCATTTTAGTAGGGAGATAGACACAAAAAATAAAAATCATGGAAGAAAAAAGATGAGTAGATTTTTTTAATTTAAAATTTAAATAAAAAAATTTATTATGTGTCTATCTCTCTTTTAGAATGACATAACTTTATATCATTTAAAATGATAAATACTTTTCCTAAATAAGAATGTTTAAAAAAAAAATTTATTATTGATTGAAGTTAAAAAAAATATAGTATTACGAGAAGAATGTAATTTTTTAATTATTTGATTACTCGTTATTGTAATTTCTGAGAAGAAACCAGTGCATTGATTTGTTACCGAAGTTGAATTGTAAGTTAAACAGGTTGGCATGGATTCTTATTGACCGAATAACATTACCAAATAATAGATATCAATGCTTTGATATTAGTCGTTTAGGGGCGTTTGGTTCAGGAAATTTTTTTGAAATAGTAGGGAAATGTAATAGATAGAGAAATAATTAGAAAGATAGATAAAATGAGATTGGTAGAAAAATGTAAAAAAAAAGTTATTTGGTGGGGAAAAACTTTACTAGGAAAATTAGGTAACTTTATGAAATCAACAGTGCAAAAAGTGTGTCTACAGTAGCATATCCGGGTTTTCATCAAAAACCACATGCAACTTTGCTTTCTAGACAGTGCAAAACCGTTGGTTTCTGAGTCAAAGTTGTGAAACATATGCAACTTACATAAATGGTTATTTGGAGAAAATTCTTCGAAACAAACATTGGGTTTAACGAAACCTTAGTTCATATAGATGGGTAAATATTGAAAAGACCCAAACCAAACAGCACCTTACTTGACTGTCTGCCTTATCTTGTAAGGATCACCAGTTATGTTTTTTCAAAGTTCATACTAAAGAATAACATCATACTATTCTTTTAAAAGGACACAAATTGTGTCTTTTTAGATGATTTATACAAATTATGATCAGTAATATTTTAAGTAAATCTAAATTTTTTTTCCTCAATCACATCACTAATGTGTAAAGTGAAAAAGAATAACTTTTCAAAATTAGACAGAATATGACCAATCATATTTTGAGTAAGTGAATACAACTTGTGTCCTTTTAAACACACCCTAAACTTATTATTTAATTTCCACTTCTTTCTTTTATATCAACCTCTATTAAAAAACAAAGGATGAGAGAGAAAATGAGATGATATGTTTCTCTCTCACGTTCTCATAGGAGATAAATATGAAAAAATATATTTAAAAACCTACTGTCGGAATAACATTTTTTTAATTAAAAATACTCTACCAAGCTAAACAAAAAAGAATATAAATTAAATGTCAAGCTACGAAGATTCACGTATAAGCAATGTATAAGTTGACTTATTCTCTTTTTATGCGTATTTTATATTTGGACATTCCACTCCATACCTTATGCTCCCTCTTATACCCGAATTTGTAAGTAGGCAAGTTTTTTCTTATTACAATTTTTATCCATTTCATGTGTAGGGCTCATGTAACGAAAAAAGAAAAAAGAAAAAAATATAAATTTCATATATTTTTATGTGTAATAGATAATTTGATATTTTTATTTTTTACAAAATAAGAAATATTAAATCCAATTTTTATATAAAGAAAATATTCATAAAACTTTCTAATTTTTAACGACTGCCGTTTACGGAAGTGTAACATGTTGTCTCATTGATAAATTAAATTTAAAGTGGTTAGCCGTGACTTATTACTTTTGGGGAATTGCCGAAAATTTTAAACTGCAAAAATAGACAATTAGGCCTGGAAATAGATGTGACGAAAAAATAGACAATTAGACAATCAAGAAAAAAAACATTTTTTATTATAAAATTTGTTTGGATGTCTATTTTAAAAAAAAAAAAAATGATAGAATAGCCAAAATCTTGCTTTTTTGAAAGTTAAAAATTTTAACTTCTAAAAAAACAGAAATCAAAAATTAAATATTTTTTGAAAAACTAAATATTTTTTGAAAAACTCTAAATGAATTTTGTTTTTGTAAAAAATATTTCTAAAATAAATAAGGTATAAAAAGTTAATTTTTTACAAGTCCATTCAAATGATCCCTTATTATGTGTAACTTATTTAAGAATAAAAAATTATTAATAAAATTCAAAATTAAAATTATTTTGCAATGTTTAGGTGAGAATTAAAATCATTTTGTATTGTTTAGGTGAGTCAACTCTCTTTTATAATTTCTTCTTATTCCACACGAAAGATTCTCGAGAATTGACAACGATTATTATAAATGTTCAACTCAACTTTCATAGCAAAGTCACATGCTTCCAATATATTCTACTACAGAAATTAGCTAAACAGAGTCGGTCCAAAATACCAGTTGCTTCGTATATTCTTACTCTATATAAGAAATCATGGATTTTTGACCCTTATAACCCTTTATTATTAATTAATTATCGATTTGACCTTGATTATAAACTATTTCAAAAATTTAACCCCCTCAAAAAACATAACATCAATCTGCCCCTGTTTGACCGTTGACCACCAAGCCTACCCGGGTACACCCCTCCCTACCCGGGTAAACAAAATTTTTCAAAAAATACCCGGGTAGGAAGGGGTGTACCCGGGTATTGTTCTTCGCACTGAGAAATTGCTTGAAGTTTTTATCCGGGTAAGGAGGGGTGTACCCGGGTACAATCAAGTTATCACACCACTTATATTTCAAGAATGTTCACCCAAGTTCCATGATAGAAGAACGAAGCACAAAAACAGAGGTTATAGGGTATACCATAGAAGGCACCAAAAAATGGAAGTAACTAGCCAAGATCAAGGTAAAATAGGAAGAAACCCTCGTTTTTCTTCTATTCTCACAACAACTTCTCGAACTTTGATCTTCTACTAAGCATCCTTTTATTGCTTTCACGAATTTTGTTCAAGGAAAGAAAGCTATTAAGAACGATGTGTAGACGAGTGGGTTTACTCAAAAGAACTTGAAGTCTCTAGAATATTTTTTAGGAATGGCGTAAAACTCTCAAGAATTGTTTCACTCAGTCACGGTATTTGCTCGCAAAAAATATACCGAGATGATGATTCTTGAAGAACTCTTAGGTTTGTTTGATGACCTCTTTGTCTCATCGTGGTGCCATTGAAGATGTGGTGGAATTGTTTGGTTTAATGGTCGATGAAGGTCTTATGCCAGATGAAGTAACCTTATCCACCACGCTTAAGGCATTGTCGGTATCTGCTTCATCAAGCTTCACGAGCTCCCAATTACCCGGGTACACCCTTCCTTACCCGGGTAAATAATTCAAGCAATTTCTCAGTACGAAGAACAATACCCGGGTACACCCCTCCTTACCCGGGTAGATAAAATTTTTCAAAAAATACCCGGGTAGAGAGGGGTGTACCCGGGTAAGCTTGGTGGTCAACGGTCAAACAAGGGCAGATTGGTGTTATGTTTTTTGAGGAGGTTAAATTTTTGAAATAGTTTATAATCAAGGTCAAATCGGTAATTAATTAATAATAAAGGGTTATAAGGGTCAAAAAGCCAAAAAATCATCGAGAAAGGGCATCAACTTCATAGCAAAGTCACTATGCTTTCATTCCATTACAGAATTAACTGAACGTACTCTGTCCCTAAATACTCTTCATAGTCCATACCCATTGGTTCGGTATCACCATTCATTAGTTCTTGCTTTATCTTTTGTTTGTAACTTGCTGGTAGTCATGTGATTACCAACAGATAAATCATTTATCTTGAAATGTGATAGGTAACTTATCTTGAAGCTTTTTTTTTTTAAGGCTAAAATATAAGTTACTCTCTTGATCATGTTTTAAATTATTTCCTTATATTTTTAATTGTTTCAATTAATCTTTTATATTTTATAATTATTTTAAATCAACAATTTTGTTAAAAATTTTACAAACACTATTAAACCTCTTCACATGCCCTAAGCCTCAAATCTAAAAAAAAAAAAAAAATTCTCTCTTTTCTTTTACATTTTTCATCTCTTATTACCATTTTCTTTGGATATTTTCTCAGTAGTTTAGGATGATTTAGATTTGGATCAGAGAAGATTAATGTGTCTCTTTTATTCTACATTCTCCCGTGGTCTCTCTTAATACATATTAACATCTTCTATAAAGGGTAAACAATCATCGCTGAAAACATCATAACTGTTGTTGTGGATGTAAGTTTGATTACCCATGGCTTCCTAAGATATGAGTGTTTAGCTCTTGATTATTTATTTATTTGGTTTGTGGTAAAAAAAATAATAATAACAAGAATAAGCTGAATGCTTGTCACACGTATATCTTCTCTGATCCAAATCGAAATCATCTTAAACTACTGAGAAAATGTAAAGAAAATTATAATAAAAAATAAGAGAACATAAAAGAAAAGAGATAATTTTCTTTTGAGATTTGAGGCTTAGACCATGTAAAAAGGTTTAACAGTGTTTGTAAATTTTTTAATAGAATTTGATTCGAAACAATTATAAAATACATAGAGTTAATTGAAATAATTAAAAGTATAAGAAGATAATTTAAAATATTATCAAAATTCAAGGGGTAAATTATATTTTATCCATTTTGTAATCATCTTGAAGCCTTTTAAGTTGCATTAATATTGAGTGGACCTTAGATGGATCCATTTGTGAACATGGTTACATTAAGATAAAGAAACAGATAAGTTGTTTCATATCAAGACCACATCATACCATACATTTATTAAACATGACATAGTCAAAATCAATTAATCAACCAATCTTGTCATTAAAGCTACAGACTAATGAACTTTAAAGAAGTTGAGAATAGACCACAGTATCTCCGTATACATTTGCCAAAGAGACACAGCGCAACAATATTTGACTAACACCGACAACACTAGCACGGTTTCCGCGTTTTCTGTTAATTTCCGCGTTTCGACAATGAACTTCATAGAAGTTAAGAATAGACCACTAGTGACTAGACACTAGTAGTGGCGCATGGCACTAGCACCCATAATGATGAAAAAATATCACTTTTTATATGAAAAGTTTAATATTTTTTTAATGGAAATAATATTTATCATTTTAAAGGATATAAACTTATATCCTTTTAGATTCTAACCGTTGATTTTCATCCATCAACGGTTATAATTTATTGGATTAAAATTATTAATTAATTAATAATAAATTTGACCCATTAAATTTGGTCTAATAGATTATAACCGTTGATAGACGAAAATCAACGGTTAGAATTTAAAAAGATATAAACTTATATCCTTTAAAATGATATATGTTTTTTCCTTTTCTAATTACATATAATAAAATCGTTAAAGGGTGGCGTTTAAACTCTCCCGTGTGAATGGAAAATTGTAGGTAAAATAAATTTAATTACAGCTGAATTAAGAATCGTTATAATTATGGAAAAATATCAAAAGATGTGAATGTATTTTTGTGAAAGAGCTAACAAATTAAAATAAATTATTGCGTTTCATTAATTACTTTTTTTTTTTACTTTTCATCTATACTTTTCTTTTTCTCTAACTATAATTTATTAAACATTTGCAACAATTTTCGTACAAAATGTTTTTATGGATTATATGTAATTTTCAAGCTTATTTTACACTCTGGAAGCTACTATCGGTTTTCCCCTGGCTATTCTTACCTAGCACTTTCTTATTTATTTTGCTTATTTTTATTTGTTGGCTGCTAAAATGACCGTTGCACCAAGCGGAAACACCCAATTACAGAGACAAGAAACACCCAGATCGAATGGCTCAGGTATAACACCACAAGCCTAAAATCTCAGCCCAAAACAAAATGAACCACTTTAGCCCGTACGAGGGATAAACTAATTGGGCTAGAACAAAATAGAGCGTGTTTTTCTCATTTCATAAAAATAGGGAGACTTTGCCATTTGCCAGTGTCTCCTTATTCATAATTAACAAAAAGTAATTCATAAAAATAAAATTAGCATAGGCTAAACTATTTAATTTGGTTATCTTTTCCCTTCCTACAAAATAACTTGGTATTAATTTTTTGAGGTAGGATATTCTTACTATCAATTTTTTCTACTACCACTCCACTGTCACTCTAATCACTGTTGGATTCAAAAGTTATTTTTTTCTCTCTTCATTCAACTTTTTCTTTAATCCAATGGTAATTAAAGTGATAGTAGAAAAAATTAGTAGTAAGAATTTCCTACCTTTAATTTTTTTACTTTTGAGTTTTGCTACATATCATAAAAGATTTTAGTGAGATGTGGCAACAAGGTAAGTCATATATTCCATTCCTTTAACTTAGTTAACATAAAAACAAATAAATTAATATAACAGTTGGTAACCATTTTACAATTTTTTTTCATGAGATTCATCATGTTAAAAGATTTTTTTCTGACCTATATTTAATTTCATAATTTGCTTAAATGCTTAAGCGAATAAAAGGGACAAAGAGGTAATTTGGATTGGATTGTATTTGGAAAAGACACAACATTGTGTTGTAATCCAAATAAGTATACTGTATTTATTTGGCAAAAGCAGTCAAACATTCGTTTGTTAAAAGATATGCTTAGTTAAAGTATGTCCGATAAGTTTAGCCAAATTAATGCAACCAAACTCGTAGTTTGACTGTATGAGATATGTTAGTTCATGCTCCAAGTCCTTTAATTTCATCTTGCTCTAATTTATATCAATTTACCTTCAAAACAAATAAGAATTAGTCAAGTTAGTTCATAATTCAACTTTCATGCTTTTTCACCAAATAACCTTAAGTTTAATGCTTTTGACTATATAGTAGAAGTGATTTTAGTACTTAAAACATGATAAAGTACAAGTTTATCAACATCCACGTCCTCATTATCAGATATCTCAAAACCCGCATATTTGCAGTCTCCACACGGAACTCTGCCGATCACTGCAGATATTACCTGACTTTTTTGTAGATTCAACTTTAGATGGATCTTCTCATTTAAATCTTCAACGAACATACCTCAGACAAATATACATTGCTCTTTTTTCCCCTTTGAAGTTCAATCCGCCTACACCTATAATTTTAGAACCATTGTAATATCGATGAACGAATTTGATCCATTTTATGCAAAAAACAAAAAATTAGAGAGTATATTATGGCTCAAAATAAGGATGAGATAAACAACAACAAAAATTGCGAGTGATAATATGTGACAGTGGGTGAAAATAATGAAAGGAAACACAACGTAAATATCAAATACAGAAATGGCGAAGGTGAGAATGAAACAGTGAGCAATTCATTCTCGTAGCCGAGAGGGGGTATATGTACAGAGTTTGAGACTGGTTAGGTACGATGGATGGTCAGGATTTAATCAAGTTGTATGAAACATGGAAGGTGTCAGGGTAGGACTAGTCCTAGATATGAAGCATACGTGATTATTCTCATATGGATCAGTTAGGACCAGTCTCTTACAATTTTAGTGTTTTAAGTGTTAGTAAGCTGAGGTGGAGAGGTAAAGGGAGTGAGTGGCGTTAGAGTGCCTGACGACACTAGTGGCGTCAGTGTGCCAATGACGGAACTAGACTCGTTGGCCAATGTAACATGACCGAATGTGAGAAGCTTATATGGAGGTTGGTCCCGTAAGGATATCTGACGTCACTGATCCCGTACAATCAACCTACGTGTTTAACTGCATTAGTTTGGCTAAACTTATCAGATGTGTTTTAACTAAGCATATCTTTTAACAAACGTTCTTAGATGGTGCTTTTGCCGTATTTATTTAGGGAATGTAAAGCTGATATTGTTGTTTCTAAACGAACATATGATGCGAGATCAAATCTCGTTTTATCCCTACCTTTTACCAAGCATAGTATGTCCGGCGCGTTTATGTGTGCAAGCGTGTTCTTCAATGACATGAATGAACTATTTACTGGTTGAAATTTGAAAGGTTTCACATATATCAATTACCTAAGGTAAATATATATATGATCTTATGAGTGCCAGACGAACAAAACAAATTACGATACACGGTAACATTTTTTAATGTAATATATATATTAATTATACCAATACACTCACGAATTAATTCTCAACTTACAAGGCTCGAGAATTCAAATTTAGTATGTAATAGAGTTTCAATACATTTGGGGAAAAGTCCTCGTTGTTTAGTACTAGGTTTAAATCCTACAGGTGGTGCCAACTTTGCTTCAAGATCCCTCTTCTAATTTTTAGTTCAACATATAGAGGTATGACTGCATCTTAATGCACCTGATGATCTTGTCAATGATCTCACAGCTCTGGCGTCAACAACTTTGAAACCTTGTTCCCTGCTATAATTCGGCTTTGGGACACGTCCACCTTTTGTTACATCGAAGGAAGCTCCATTTTCAAAAGCGTCCCTCACTGAATGAAATTCCCATCTGTCCCCATTTGTATTACTACTTTTTCTCCATGTTACCTACACACATTATATAATTAGCAAAATTAAAGCACTAGTAAAACCATTTCATATACACACAAATACCTCATTAATAATTAACTATAGTTGATATAGAATTGCTAAGATTGTTCACCTCCTTACTCCCCGATTTCGGTGCTATGAAGAGGTTAGCTTCGCTTTTAAGGCTAGGTCCCATGCTTCCTCCGATGGCATATTGCAGCCATCCCTGGTAAAGATTGTTGGCTACATGTGCATATCCATGGCGGATCCTACAACGTTATTTTATTAATAAAGACAAATTAAAATTGTCTAATAGATTTAGATGTTTATATTTTAACTTGTTAATTAATCAATTAGCTAGTTACCTTGGCATGCGCTGGTTGCAACTAGGTCCAAAATGGTTGTACACAACAGTAACCTTCATGTTCTGGTCCCTCACATACCCATCGTCATGCCCAAGAAGCATAACCTTGTCTTGGTCTCTGAACCAGTTGTTGGATACAGTCACATTAGTGGAACCACGCGTGACATCAAGAAGACCATCTTGGCAATCATAAAGGGTATTATGATCAATCCAAATATTTGAAGCAGTAACCAATCTGATTGCATCCCCATCTACTTGGCCCAAAGGAATTACCTTTCCATTTGGACCCATCACCATCCCAGGGGCTTGAGCTTTGCAATTATGAACCCGAATTCCATGGATGATTACATTGGTGGCCTAGAAACAAATTCATAAGCATGAAAACAAAAATTTATAATTTTGTTGTGCAAGTTGAAATTAGTTTGGAGTTGGTGATTATACCTTTGAGATCATCAAGCATGCATTATCAAGAATGTGGACGTTGACACCTCGACCATCAATGGTGGTGAAACTACTAATGAGAAGGGGTTTTCCGAGTCTAATGTGCATGTCTCTTTGGAATGTGATCCACACTTTACCTTGAATCACAGAAGCTCCATACCTCAAGGTGCCAGGTCTGGGGTTTATAGGGTCATCAGTGGGGTCAGTAACTTTATAATGCATGAGGTCCTTACCAATGTTGTTCATCATCTTGCCAGCATAGCCAACGGAGCATGTGGCTAGTTGAGGCCGATTTTTCCTCCATTCTGGATTCGGTCTCCAGCATCGATCGATGACATTCATTTTCATTCCAATTACCTTGGATTTCTTGGCAGAACTAAGGTTTGGAGTGAAAATGGTGGCAATAACAATAGCTAAAAGAAAGCGCCTGAGGATGGAATTGGTACCCTGACAAGCCATGATGCAGGGTACTTGTTCTTGGTAAATTCGAATTACAGAGAAAAGAGAGATAGGAAAAGAAAACGTTTTTGCTGCTTGTTATTGGAGTAATAGTAGAAGTATGAGGAATGATTATATAGGTTATAGCGGTTTCGAATTGCATGGAGTTAGTTGAAGTTGTTTTGTGAAGCTATGGCCAAGGGAGTGTCCCATTGCAAAGAGAAGCTATGAATAGAAATAAGTAGGGAGGTTTAGCTAGTTTTGATTCTAAACCTCAAGTTGTGATAACTAGCTAAATTTGAGCAATAACTATAGAAAGCAAAGGAGGAATTCTAATATATATGCTCTAAATATAATATTTCCAATGCCTGAAATTAAATTTAAAATTTCTTAAATTATATTTTTAATTTAATTTAGTGACTTGTACATACATGGTTATGCATTATATGTACATGTCATGTCTTTATTGGATAAATGCATCACTCTCATCATACAGAAAAAATATATATATCCCAAGGAAAAGCGGCACGAGATATCTAGGTTAATTTGTTTTACGTTAACGAAATGATTACTCCTAACGTTTACATTTATATAACTGTTATATTTATAATTTAGGGTGAGATTCATCAATTGTTAAATAAATAAAAATTTTAAACCCTGTCAATATTTCATAATAACTAAATAAAAAATTTCAATTTTTTATAAACATTTAGTCGTGAACATGTTAATTTGGGTACATAATTGTTCTGCATAAAGAACAACAGTTTCCGTTAATTACAATTTTGTGACCATTTAGTGTGAATTAATTGATATAATATTTCGAATTGTTTAGTTCTTTCATGAAAATGCTAAATTTTTAGATAAGAGGGTTGCATTTTGAGAGTCACACAGTACATTAGTAGGTTCCTTACGAAACCCGGTTCAGTTCCAATACCATTTAATCATATTGCTTCCTTAATTGTTTTAATGAGAGACACATATTTGTTGAAAAGGCTACAATATGTTAAAAGACTTGATTTCCAACTCATCACATTTCCTCCTATAGTGAAAATAAAGCCGGTTAGTGATCTTCTTTTATCAAGATGAGTACCATAATTAGAGTCACAGAAACCAATTATTTCAAAATTATTCGAATTTTCAACAAAATAATTCAGGCAATGATTTACAAACCTATTCAGTTATATCTCAACAATCATTTCACAGTATTTCAATGTTTCTTACATGGTTTACTCATGTATCTACGGACTACATTAATACCATATGCAATATTTGGCTTGGATCCTATCATGACATACATTAAACATCCCACAACATTAGAAAAGTCACATTGGACGTGTATTTTACTTCTTAAAGAAATTGAGCTCCATTAATAGCTTTTAGCCTGAAGTGTCTACCCAATCGAACACTAACTGACTTTAAGAATTGTTTCACATATTCAAACTGGGATATAGTGAACTTTCTTTCCTCATTGATCCTTTAGATGCCCATGCCAAAAATTTTCTTGGCTGGACCAAGAAAATTCATCTCAGATTCCTTTTCAAACATGTTCTTTTGAATTTATTTCATTAAGTTTTTTGAGGCAATAAACATATCGTTCATGCTCCGAACTCGACGGATGTCCTTGCCCAACCAGTCCAAATGACTACCTAACAAGACCACCATCACTTAGCACTTAGAGCACATAACTCCCTTGTAAACATGTCCCCTCGCATTTCCAATGCACGAAATGACCTTTACCCGTCAGGGATCACGCAACCTCACACCATAGTAAGGCCCTCAGGGAAAAAACGATTATGAGATTACACCTGACGTGCTTGGAGGGAATTCCCTCCACCCGACGTTTTCACTTCACCTCAGATTCATCTTCTCCATCGCATACCTTTACTATTACTCTGCTGAAATCACTCTCCAAGCCATAATCGAGCCCAAAAACTCCACCCTCTTTCATCCTTAGCTAATCTAAGGCCATCACAGTGACTCTCAAGAGCTATGGTCTATACCATTGTCTCTTTTATCTCGGTCAGATCAACATATTTCACTCTTACGGGATACAGAAGCTCATTCTCATTATCTGACAAGTTAAGTACACATATATAAGTAAGTAGAAAAAACAATCATTACCCAATGGGTGCAGCTCAGTTGGTAATTTGGCGCTGAGTTAGTGGGGTTGGACATGTGTTCGATTCCTGCTGAATGCATTCTTGGGGAGGGGGCTGAACCTTTAGCCATCACTGCTCCCCCGCACTCCGGATTAGTCCCATAGCCGGCTCAAAGAGTCGAAGCTCGTGGGGATACCGAAGGGAGCCAACTCGCCTCAAAGAGGTAATTAGGGTTGGGTAACTCCAAAAAAAAAAAAAAAAAAACAATCATTATGCAATTGTTTAAAGTACACGCAATAATCAAAACTAATTCTTTTTTTTTGGAGAAAAAATCTAATTCTAATAAAACTCTTGGACAATACAAAATCATCAAACCTCATATATCATTGTCTAACTGCTTATTTCACACCATAGAGGGACCTCATCGAGAGGCAAACTTTGTTTTCTGTCCCCTTCGTAATGAAGCCGTTTGGTTGCTCCATAAAAAATTGTTCTTCAAAGTCGTCACACAAGAAGGCAATCTTGACATCCACTTATTCTAATTTAAATTTATAAATCACAATAACCGAAAATATGAACCTGATAGATGTTTAACCATTGAGGAGAAGACCACACTAACCAACCGGGCTTTTGTCTTTCGCACGTAGACCAACCAACCTTTAATTGAAACGCCTTTTTTTTTTTTTTTGTAAATTTGAAAAGCCTTTTTTTAGTGCGTACTCCAATACTTTTTGGCCCATACATATATTTTCTCAGTAACTCAATCCAGCGTCTTTGTAGTACTCACGACGCTAATATTATGTTGAGTACCCCCGGTTTTTGGAAAAACCTAAACGGTAAATTAAACGTTTTAATATTAGGACTTTAATAAATCGTCGTTTAAACTTTAAAATTTGATCATTAAATAATTCATAACTTTTTTAAATTAAGACAAATTCCCTCCTACTTTAGTTTTTAATATGCTACGAAGTATTTGAGTTGAAAATAAATAAATAAAATAATGAGTTATACATCAATAATATGAAAAAAAATTAAAATAATGTTCAAAATTTAAATTTATAATTTGCTAAAAGCCTAAAATGAAAACATATAAATTGCACGTTCAAAAATTATTAAAACAATATATTCTTTAAGCATTATATATATATATATATATATATATATATATATATATATATATATATATATATATATATATATATATATGGGGAAGGATATACTAACCACCAAAAAAGTTTACAATCTTTACAACTAATCTAATTACTAATTTAACGGTTATAATTTATTGAAAATTTTTGGACAACATTTATTAATTAATTATTAATTTTTCATAAATTATAACCGTTAGATTGACGAAAATCAACAGTGATTAGATTAGTTGTTGATCGGACCAAATACGGTATGGATAGCCCAATACGTATTAAGCCCAAATCACACACGGTTGAGACTCCTTCGGTAGTTTCTGGTCTGGGCCTGGTATTGCAGTTGGGGTGAGCCTGAGTTCTTTGTCCTTTGTCCTTCAAGTTGCACCAAATGGGGGTACCTGCGAAGACACTCTGATGCTTAAGTCAGTATCAGAGGCAGGTGTTTATGTTGTGAAAGTAAATGATGATCGTACCTTGGTGATACATCATGTGTTTATATAGTAGTTGAGATGTGTGCTTGAAGGATGCCTTTCTTCATGGTGAAGGCAAAGGTTCCTTGGAGCCAACGTAGTGTGGCTGTCATAGTTTAAATGTTGAGGAGCTTGCCGCCACGGTGTCTAGTAGTAGAGTTATGGCGAGCTGGAGCTGTCCGTTGCTTACTGGTGTGAGGGTGCAGTGGTGTTGCCTTGGCCCTTAAGTTTACTGTCTGTAGAAGGTATCCTGTTACGAGGTGAGTAAGTACGTCTTGCATGCCGCGATAAGGTCATCGCGCCTTGTATGACGCGATATGGTCATCGTATCCGTACCTGTCCTTTATGCCTCATTCTGAGTCCTTAATGGATTTGAGCTTCCATGTGTTATTGGGTCCTGATTGGGCCTATACTATATCCGGATCAGTTGTAAAAGTTGTAATTTTCTTTTGTGGTAAGTATATTATTTTCCTATATATATATATATATATATATATATATATTGCTATTATTGTAGACATTTTGTAGGCTGACGGCTAAGACCTGACTAAAATTTATGGGACGTTCTCTTGGTTTGTAAGTTTGTTATATGTTTCCCTCGCTATCAAGCTTAAATTTTCTCTCATTTTAAATGCAAGTTGCAATCAATGTAGATTGTGGGGTTCTATCTTTTCAAACTTCCCATAAAAAATATATACACGTACTTCATTAAATTTTTTATATACAATAAAATTAATACTTTTATTTAGTTAAATAATAAAAAAGAATTAAAAAACAACATATTTAAAGGAAAAGTTCACCAATATCCCTGTGGTTTACTTCAGAATCACTTATGCCCCTATGGTTTGTAAAAAGGGTATGCTTTTTATCACATATACCCCTGTGGTTTCTTATTTTTTACAAAACACAGGGGCATATGTGATAGGAAAAAAACCACAGGGACATAAATGATTCTGAAGCAAACCACATGGGCATTCGTGAACTTTTCTCTTAAATCAATTATTAAAAAACTGTTCAGGCGAACTAAAATACGACACGGTGGTCAGAAAAAGATAAGATATTTAACATAGCAAGAGTTACTCGTCCAATTACCATAAAAGAGAAAGCTATGGGTAGCATGATCTAAAACTGCAAAAGACAATAGAAGATGCGGCGACTAGTAGCTTTGATTACCAGGTTGGCTTGGACAAAGACAGTGTTATAATTATACTATAATCAATTAGCATCCGACAAAATTAGGACAGTAAGTTTGAATTATGACAACA